AGTTGCGAACCCTATCTGAGGGGTGTAAAATTTGACCCCCCCAGCCTGAGAGATGGAACACTTGGCCAATTAGTGGGAGGGAAGCACAGCAGCCACTCGGTCTTATCTGGATTGAGTACAAGCTTGTTAACCCCCATCCAGTCTCTAATGGCTTTGAGGCCCTGGCTCATCACGTCCATCGCTTCATTGAGTTGGCATGGTGGAGTGAGTACCCATCACTTGCCTCAGTTTCTGCCCACCTAGCATTTCAAAAACATCATACATGCAAGTAGATTAATAGGTACCACTTCAGTGGAAATGCGGCAGTGTTTTTGCAGGCAGTGGGACCCTACTAGTGCAGGATCTGCCCAGATACGATGCCATTGGTGATGAGAGAAGCCCTAGATGATGCCCCTGTGGTACACACTCTGGGATAGCGTGCAAGCACAAACTAAACACTTTGGCAGCCAAATAACTACAGTACTTTGTATTAACACTCTAGTCTCCTGGCTAATTGTAACATTGCCATATGCTAAATAAATAATCACTGATTATTTGATACAATAAGGAACATAACAGAATAACCAGCAGACACAATGGGATCATCTGTTCTTTTCAGCTTCTATAACAAGAGCAGGGATAGTTGCATTTTCAACTGTGTGCTTTTAGAAGATTAAGCAACAGGAGAGCATTCACCTACACAAGGGTCATAATCAATGAAATAGTCAATGAAAACAAACCTAAGGAAAATCTCCAGGATTTCACATTAAATCTGAAATTTCAGTGAAGGAGACTTTGAATTATTTACCTGTTATGAGAATGATGTTTGAATAATCACAGCATTAGGCAGGTAATATGGCAGCATCTTGCATTCCATATGCCAGTATTCATTCTTATGTCATAATAGCAGAGAACCTTATCATTCTAGTGTGAGGGGAGAAAATATTCATTGGAAAGTTGCAGGTAATAAGCCTAGGAGTGAGCTTGCAGGCTAGGACCTGTGGTTGGGACCTGGTGGAATATTGTCTCCCCTGAGAACTGGCCATTCTCTTGTAGGAAGGTTGCGCCCTCGGTTTGGTCCGGGTCGTGCCTGAGGAGTAGTGTGGAAGCTCCCCATTAGCCATGAGGTGGTACTGGGAAGTGTTCAGTGTTGATTTGTTCCATTTATTTAAAAATGTTTATTTGCCTTGTTTTTATTTGCCCTTGGGTTTTTAAAATCTTCCCTGTTTGCCTTGGCAGCAAATTGTACCTGTTTTATTTTGGCCTTGGCCTTGTTCCTCCCCTTTTTGAATTTTATTTGGCCTCAGCCTTTCTGGAGTTGCACTTTGCATATTAATTTTATGTGTCTATATTGCGATTGTATATGTGTTTGGTCTTGCTGCTGTTGTTACCCCTGCAACTTTGTTGGGGTTTTTAAGACACTGTATGTATGTGTTTGCATTGATATAGTGAAGTGTTTCTTGTTATTGTATGAGCTGGCTGGGTCCTTATTCACCCTGCCTTTTCTTCCTTGGTGGTCATGTGTATGCGTGGGTTTTGTGCTTGTCACATTAATACTGCTGAGTGTGTTTCTTTCTATGGCTCCTGTGATGAGATTTCTGAACATGTGCCTCTGGATTATTTTGCTACAACTTTTCTCGTGATGAAGGCTATGCCTCAATGTACTTGGAGCATGCCTCTGTCAGAGTCCTTTTTGTCTTTTTCTCATTATCTATCATCTCTCTGTTGATTCCCTTACTTAATTGGAGAAAACTTAACCTTGCTGTTAGGAGTGAGTTTTCCATTCCTTCTTTTCTCTGAATTACTATTTTTCATCCTGGGTGATTTTCCTTCAGCACTATGATTAAATTTACCTGACCCTGTTTTTCCTTTCATGCCGCCCCTTTTTCAGGTAGATAAGGGTCAACTTGTTTGTTGGAAGGAAGCGATGTTTTACTTCTTGTGCCTGCTACCTTCCCCATAGATAAGGGTCGGCTCTCTTGCAGAAGTGGCACATCTTTTTCCTTAATTTTTCTTTAGGAAGGAATTTATCTTTTCCATACATAACAGTGGTTGGTTGCAGGTGGTACGCCCCGGTACAGGCATACTGGAGCCTGCCTGGAGCACCGGGTACGACTCCGGTACGGTGCTCCGGAGGGCCCACCTACCCGCACTCCTTACCTGTCTTTAAAGTCTTTGGCACTTCTATGCATGCAGAGCACCTGCGCGACGCTCCATTGAGCAGCTGGTGCATCGCGGAGGCTCGTGGAGACATCGCTGGATGGCAAGATACATGCGCGTGCTGCACACGTCCATGTGGATGGCGCCAGGCCCGTTCCAACCATACCAGTTGGAACGGGATCTGGAACCCACCACCAATACATAAGGACTGCCTCTGTTGGCAGGATTCAATTGCCTTCCATTTCCCTGAGATGGCTGGTTCCCTCGGCTGTCTTAGTGGAGGAAAACAAACAGAAAAAAAGAAGAAATGAAACCTAATGCAGAGTACCTTTCCTTAGACCAACAAGCACATACTGATACGAATGCACTGAGGGCTCTCTGCAAAAAGAGGAAGTCACTGCAAAAAGTCTGCAAAAAGATGGGAACATGTGAAAAAAGGTATAAAAATGAAGGCTTGTGATCATGTCAACGCCATTGATGGTAGCTGCTCCTCACTGGACATAGCTGCTACCTCCGACCCGTGTTTCAACTCGAAACTATAAGTACAGTCTTACTGAAGTACTAATGCAAATCTCTGGCATTTTTCATGTTTGAACTAACTATGAAAAAATAAACTTTTGATTCAAAGCTGAATTGTGGTTGCATGTTTTGCATCTCTATTTTTAGTATTTCAAATTTTATAACACTAAGTTGGTTGGTTGGTTGGTTTATTTTTTTGGTACAGAGTTTTCATCACCTGAAGGCTAGTTAGGGTTCATATGGTTTTATGGTGAAAATGAAGAATTGGTTTTGGAACTTCTATCAGCCGTTTCTAGCACATGGGGCAGTCTCCCTGCTGCTTCAAATTAAAATTAGAGATAAATGCAAAGGCGTGCAGCATCATTATGGCTGGGTATATGCAATTCAGATAGCCATAAGGCTTTCATTAATGTGAATGTGTTTTCAAACTCTTTCCACCTAATGGAGTGACTACTCAACCAGCCATCTGGGGGGAAAATCCAGAGGTAGCATTTGTTGAGCCTGTACTTTAGTGATGAGGGCACAGTGTATGTGTAAATAGCTTTCTTTTCATTCTACAATCCCCTCTGAAACAGTCTACTTTTTTGGTTTCCCATGCTCTAATGCAATCCTAATGGAAGATATCATGTAGAGTGTCGTCCCATTGAGGTTGGGGGGAGGGGGAAGGTTGGCAGCAGCCCTGCTGTTACTACTAAAGAGGAATTATGTCCTTGAGGAATTCTTGAAATTTATTGTTCCTCATAAATTTGGTGGAAAATTTCCAGGGAACATTTGTGCCCAGTAGACACGTACTTTGAATGATAAGTTTCAGACTGTTTACCAGTATCTTTGGGTGATAAGGCAGGGAATAAAAGAATTGCTTAAAATAGCAATAGTAGTAGCATTTATATACCACTCCACAGTGCCTTTACAGCACACTCTGAGTGGTTTACAAAGTCAGCATATTGCCTCAACAATCTGGGTCCTCATTTTACCAATCTCAGAAGGATGGAAGACTGAGTCAACCTTTAGCTGGTCAGGATCGAACTCCTGGCTGTGGGCAGAGTCTGCCTGCAATATGACATTCTAACTACTGTGCCACCAAGACTCATAAAATCTTGGAAAGCTAGCACCGGTCAGGTTAGATACATTTCAGGTTAAGATTGTTGTCCCAACACAGTATAGGAGAGGGGTCTCCAACCTTGGCAACTTTAAAGCTTGTGGACATCAACTCCCAGAATTGGGAGGCTGGCTGAGGAATTCTGGGAGTTGAAGTCCACAAGTCTTAAAGTTGCTAAAGTTGGAGACCCCTGGCATAGGATAGCTCCATCTGTATAAAAAGTTTGGGAAAATGCTGTAAAAAGACAGAAGTGCACATTTTGCATGCTGACAATCTAAAACATTTCTACATAGGTTAAGACTGTGAAGAACTTCTGCTGATGAATTTCACCTACCACAAGACCTCTCTGCAAATAATGTGTGAGTTTCAAGTGAGTCTTGGTTTCTGGCAACTACACAAACAAGAACCTGCAGTTTTATTGACACCATTTTTCAGGAGTGATTTTCTTTTGCCTCTTTCCTAGCGTAGAGAAAGAATGAATAGCCCCAAATCAACTGGCTGCCTTCCAGGTAAAAATAGAATTTAAGTTTCCTCACTTTTTAATCCCTTATCAATTATTATCTAATCCCTCACTGGAGAAGGACTCACTGGAGAAGAGCCTAATGCTGGGAAAGATTGAGGGCAAAAAAAGAGGACAACAGAGAACGAGGTGGCTGGCTGGAGTCACTGAAGCATTTAAGCAGTGAGCTTAAATGGACTCCAGAGGATGGTAGAGGACCGGAATGCCTGGATGAATGTTGTCCATGGGTCACAATGGGTTAGACACGACTTCACAACTAATAAATCCCTTATCTTACTGTTCTTAAAAATAAATTCCCCCCATGGATAATAGCTACTCTAAATTATTAAAATTCCACATAAGATGATAATTTAAAAAAAAAACACCATTCTATTTTGTGGCTATTCAATGATTATAAGCAGCTTGTGCCACCTACTGGACAATTTTGAAGAATGCCATGTTTAACAGATGACAAAAGGAATTGTACTTAACTGACTTTGTTCCTTAAGAAAAATGTGAGACAAGTTTCCTATTAAAATCTTGCATTCTATACTTCACTAATAACAATTTAGTTTACTCTCACTTTTGAAGATAGACATTTTTAATTACAGTAACTGTCGTAAATAAAAATCAGGCAAGGCATTAGCTTTGTTGATGGTTTATTTCTTAAAGCCAGTACAAGTTTATTAACTCATTTTTTTTCCTAAGGAGCACATTACTGAAGAAATAGCATTTTACTTCTTTACTTCAAGGCATCTCATTAAATAATACAACTTTTTATCTTTTGTAGAAAAAATGGAACCTTCAAAACTGGAAAACACATCACCAAACCAGAGGACATTTAAATATGCAATTAAGTAACACGAAATTAATTTAGAATAATGGGCTGCTCTGTAATAATAATCTGGAAGGTCAACAAAACTAATCCGTGAATGTTAAACTTGTTTAACATTGGAAGAATTTCAAAGAACTGGAGAAAAAAATTGGAATTTTGTTATTATATATGTTGACATCAGCAAGACTATTGTATGCGCAGAAATGGAAGGACACTTCGATTCCTACTATGGAAGAATGGTTGCAGAAATTGATGGAGTTGGCTGAAATAGCAAAACTGACTACCTTGACTAAAGAAAAGAACAGAAGTACTTTTGTTTCCACATGGAAACCACTTCTAAACTTTGTGCTTGATGTGGAAAAGAATAAAACTTTGATTTTGTATTTTACAGATTAGATTGATTATAGAAATGACTTGTTCATACTACTATGAACAAGAAAAAAGTTGGAAAAGCAAAAAGTGTGATCTGTAGTTAATGCCTTATTCTACTGTAACAGTCAGAAGTCAATGCTTTTTCTTTCCCTATCCTTCATCACTTTTCTTCCCCCTCATTGTCCTCTTAGTTGCTTTTGTATTTTACAATACCTTATAACTTAATTTAAAAATGTGATATAAAAAACACTGGAAGAATTTCAGACAACTGATGGAAAATAAAGAGAAATCAAAAATTTCCATTTAAAGGAATTCTGTTTATAGCATGTCATATGTGAATGTTTGATTATAAAGAATATACACAGAAGGAATGCCCGTAACAAAAATATATCACATATAGTAGGATTTAAACTTACTTTCTTAAAAGAGGAAATCTGAGGAAATATAATCCATATCAGAAATGGCTTCCATCTGAAATTTTTCAGCTCCTGCAGTTTTTTAGTGACAGGTGAAATGAAAAAAAACTGATGGTGGTATGGGACCCCATGGAGTGTTATGGTTATGTTGTTAGACCAAGACTGTGGGGAATCATGCTCATTCTTAGTATCAAGAGCTTACCAGTCACTTTCAGCACAATCTATTGACAAAGATGTCATTAGGAAAAATTGAAGGATATCTTGAGTTTAGAATATGAATTTAGCAAATTAAATACGTTAATAACCCCCTTGCAAAATGATGACACTTTTTAACCCAGTACCCTCCAGTGTGCCTTCTGAGCTCTAAATGTAAAAAATAAAAAATAAAAAAATGCAGTCCTAAGCTGCAAAAGTTGCTCTGCTTGACTCCCAAATAACTGGACAAATGGTGAAGGATGTGTAGCATAAGTCTTCTCTATAGCTCTAGCATAGCTTTTTTTCATTAATTAAATGAGGATTATTATTAAAATGGTAAAACCTGATCGTATCCAAGCTTTGGTGTACCTAAAGAAATGAAATTCCAGACAAAGACAGTATCTTTGAAGTGAATTCTTTAATACTAGAAGTGATAGAGGAGAAGGGAACTGCAAGAAAGTTCCCCTACTCACTGAAACTATCCTTAATTTGTTTTAATCATTGGGGAACAAATTGTTTTCCTAACTGCATCCGACGTTCATGTGACTTGCTTATAGTAGGAGAGCATATCATCCAAACTTTGGTAAGCCGGTTCTTGGTTTGACGTCCTCATCTCAGGTGCCTGAGTGGGTATGAAGTCATTGTTCCATGAGTTATTGTGAGTCTCAGCTGATGTAGATGGCAGGTTGCCTGTAAAACTGTCTTCTGTACTTACATAGGAGGATTTAGATTTGCTCCGATTTTGATTATTCCAATCGTAAAATTTATTTTGATTGTTAAAGTAAGCAGAAGGTGGTGCAAACTCTGGATCTCTTTCGTTTCTGAGTTCATTCTGCTTCTTTGACCAAAGTCCAAAAGTGAATTCTATTAATGGGAAGAGAAAGAAATGTCAAGTTCAGCTTGCTTTTCCATATTTAATTCAACTCAAGCTCTATGAAACTTTATAAAAGAATAGAACAGTTGGAAGGGACTTTGGAGGTCTTCTAGTCCAACCCCCAGCCTAGGCAGGAAACCCTATACCACTTCAGACAAATGGTTATCCAACATCATCTTAAAAACTTCCAGTAATGGAGCCTTCACAACTTCTGGAGGCAAGTTGTTCCACTGATTAATTGTTCTAACTGTCAGGAAATTTCTCCTCAGTTCTAAGTTGCTTCTCTCCTTGATTAGTTTCCACCCATTGCTTCTTGTCCTACCCTTAGATGCTTTGGAGAATAGTTTGACTCCCTCTTCTTTGTGGCAGTCCCTGAGATATTGGAAACTGCTGTCATGTCACCCCTAGTCCTTCTTTTCATCAAACTAGACATACCCAATTCCAGCAACCGTTCTTCATATGGTTTAGCCTCCAGTCCCCTAATCATCTTTGTTGCTCTTTTCTGCACTCTTTCTAGAGTCTCCACATCTTTTCTACATTGTGGTGACCAAAACTGAATGCAGTATTCCAAGTATGGCCTTACCAAGGCATTATAAAGTGGTATTAACACTTCATGTGATCTTGATTCTATCCCTCTGTTTATGCAGCCTAGAACTGTGGTGGCTTTTTTGGCAGCTGCTGCACACTTCTGGCTCATATTTAAATGGTTGTCCACTAGGACTCCAAGATCCCTCTCACAGTTACTACTATTGAGCAAGGTACCACCTATACTGTACCTGTGCATTTTGTTTTTCTTGTCTAGTAAAAGGATTACTTCTTTTTTTTAAAAAAAAAAACCTTATAACAGCAACCTGTTTTACTTCTGTTTAGGAAATCCCATTTTGCTTACCTTAATAGAATGTTAAAAAAAAAAAAATTAACCGGTCACCCATTTTATTCACATTGGGTGCCATCTACAATACAGATGGTCCTCGACTTACGATCACAATTGGGCCCAAAATGTATGTGTCTAAGTGAGAAATATGTTAACTGATTTTTGTCCCCATTTTTATGATCTTTCTTGCCACAGTTATTAAGCTAATCCCTGCACTTGTTAAGTTAGTAACAAAGTTATTAATTGAATCTGGCTTCCCCATTGACTTTGCTTGTCAGAAAGTGGCAAAAAATAGCCACAAGACCCTGGGACACACAACCGTGAACCAATTGTCAGCATCCAAATGTAAATCACGTGACCATGGGGATGCTGCAATGACCGTATCTACGTCACTTTTTTTAGGGCTGTTGTAACTTCGAATAGTCACTAAAGAGTTGTTGCCAAGGTCTACCTCTATCATTTAGTAATCTGCGGAAGGCTGTGAAAGAGAAGCAGTTTACATGCAGCTGTAACCTTTCCATTATGTCTGGATGAACAGACTTATTTTTCTGTATTATGTTGGGATGTGGGAATTTCTCACCTGAAATGCTGGTGACACAACCAGAGTTTAAGTTAAGAATGAGGAAGTTCTGCTTAGTCATGGGTTGTAACACGTTAAGAGAATTACAGAACTTCCATCTTGTTTATGGATTACAGAAAGTTGGCAAACTTTAAAACTTAAAACTGTTGGAAAACTTTAAAACTGTCTCAATACCACCTCCCCTCCAAATCAAGGGAAAAAACCAATGTTGAAATCATTATGTTGGTGTGTGACAAAGCACTATCAGGGTTTTTGGGGGAATTTAAAAGGTAGTGCTGGGGGTTCCATGAGTCAAACTACCATGGCTTGAATTAAAGGATTCTTGACATGCTGACAATCCAGAACATTTGTATACACTGCAGCTTCCTACCTTTGCCTTTATCCCATTCACGAACATAGGGCACACCCGGCTTTGTATCTCTCCTCTCCTGAATGATAACTTCTACTTTTCTACTTTCTGTAGAAACTCTGGGAAGTTCAGCGGGCTTGCTTGAAGGTAGGACTGGTATTGCTTCTTCCTCCTCTGTTATGAAGAACAACATATAGATTTTAGGCACCGCATACAATAAATGGATGTGATATGATATTGCAGTACTGGATGATATTGTACAGTAAGTGTATTTATGGAATGATTTCCTCACAGTTAACATGTCACTGAGATATTAACTGTTGTCTCCTCAAAAAAAAGTTATTACAAAGTAAGCTGCAAGCTGTAAATAAATAAATAAATCCCTACATTTCAGTGGATACCAGAAAGCAGAACAAAAGTTATGACTTGGCAACAGAGCCTATAATGACTATATTGTAATATAGTTGAAGGAACAAGCAATAAGAAAAGTATTTCATACTCTTCCTTTCATCAATTTCACCAGCTTTTCAAAACTTTATCAGCGATAAAAATATTAGTGGGGAACATAAACCATCCAAGTTGATGTAATAAAAGCATAGTTTTCTGAATATCTGAAAAATTAGTTTGGAGTTTATGAACAGAGGCCGCTGTGGATTATTGCTATGTCTGAATTAGAAAAATCAAATCTGGTCCTAATCCACCATCCTGCTTCTTCAATGCATGTGCACAAGCCATCACAATATGACTTCCTCCAAAACTGCAACTCTTTTCCGGTTGAGACTGTGAAACCATTCGAAATAAATTACAATACAGTATAGCCAAATTGGTGGTTGTTAGTGAATAAGAGAGACATTGTCCTCTAATCAAATATGTAAATCTTCCAAAACTGCTTTTAAATTTAAAGAAAATAATTCAAAATTACCTCCATTTTCCTTCGTATCGCCATCTTTTAAGCGCTTTTTCGCTCGAATTTTAGACAACCTGGCTTCCAAATTGGCTTTACGTTTTTCCTTTAAATGTTCACGCTTTGCTCTCTGACCGATGGTCTGGAGAAGGGCAACACAATAGAAATTCATTTCCTCTTCAGATGTTCACAGATAATATTTCTTTTAACCCTTTCCTGCTATACTTTTGAGATTCAAGCTTTAATTTTACCATTACTATGATGTAACTAAATTATATTTCCTGGGTAAACAAACCAATTGCATTGGATGGCATTTTTCACTGCATCAACATAACTGACAAGATTTCTTAAAAAAGAAATTAATACAGTATTTCAGTAACAAAGATGTGATATTTTAATACTATAATTTATTCCCATACTTAGGTTTAAGCATCAAACTGTTATCAATTTTTTAAAATTGAATTCTTTAGTACTGAACTTATTATGCATATTAGATGTACTATACATGTTCTATATGGGTTATCGTGATGTCTGTAGTGCTACTAGTTGATTCAACCACAACTACTGCTGTTTACAGGTAGTCCTTGACTTACAACAGTGACTGTTCAAAGCTACATCACTGAAAAGTGACTTACGAGCATTTTTCACACAGCCACTGCAGCATCCCCATGGTCACATGATCAAAATTCAGATGCTTGGCAACTGACTCATTTACTGTTCCAGTGTCCAGGGGTCATGTGATGACCTTTTGAGACCTTCTGACAAGCAAAGACAATGGGGAAATCAGATTCACTTACCACCTGTGCTACTAACTTACCGACTTCAGTGACTTAACAATTGTGGCAAGAAAGGTCATAAAATGGGGCAAAACTCAACGTAACAAATGTTTTGCTTAGCAGCAGAAATGTTGGGCTTAATTGTGGTTGTAAGTTGAAGACTACCTGTAATTAGGTTGAAACTTTGAGGGAAATTTTTTTTTCTCAATAATCCAGATGATTTTCCATCAACGAAGGTAATAGAAGCATGAAAAGCTGGAGTGAGGGAGATTTACTGTATTTTTTGGAGTATGAAACACACCTCCCCCCCCAAAGAGCATGGAAATGTTGATGTGTCTTATACACCGAATATAGCCATTTTTGGCCTCCTGAAGCCCCGCCCCCACATCCCATTTTTGCAAAAAGTGGGCAGAAAATGAGTTGTTTTCGCACAAGTGGAGTGTTTTTGCCTTCCCCCAGCCCCCCAAAGCACTCTGCAGGCTTCAGCAGGGCAGGGGGAAGGGAAAAAAAATGCCTGTTTTTGCAAAAAAACCTGGCCCATTTTCCATCCATTTTTTTGCAAAAACTGAGACGTTTTTGCCT